GACATTGAATTTTGGGAAATAAATGTAGTACTTTCATTTTTGGACTTTTATAATGCTTGTTAGTATGTTAAATAAAGGCTCTGAGATGTATGTAGCTCTCCTTTGAATTCTGTTAATAGCCTAACATCCTGCTGGTCACCAAAACATACTTTAGAAAACAGTCCTCGTTTACATTACAAATTGTTATTTTTCTTCAGCAACATGAAGAAGAAAGCAAAAGGAGCTAAGGATGACTCAGAAGATGAAGATTCAGAAGATGACGACCTTGATAATTTGGATGATGATGAAGTTTCCTTAGGAAGTATGAATGAAGAATTTGCTGAAATTGAAGAAGATGGAGGAACATTCATGGATGTGTTAGATGATGAGAATGAGGGCATTCCAGGTAAACCTTTAAACAAACTTTCTGCTTCAGCAGAGGCTAGTTTTTCTCTTAAAAGGTTTTTAATATTATCTCGTATTCAGATTTATACTCAAATCAGCCAGAAATTTAAAGAAGATCTTCCCATCTCACTTGACACTGAAGTTTTTGGGTTTTTAAGCAGCTGAGTTCTGTTTTGGACTTCTGTTTTAATCACTATTGAGACTGTCTGTGCTATTCCTCTTGACCTGTTATGTTATACTGCCTTTTAAAAATACTGGATTGATAATTTGCAATAATGTTAAAGTTAATCTATATTCATCACAGTAGTTCTGCAGCAGTTTTTTTAAATTGCTTAATAACAAAAGGGTTTTTATGTTTTTGTTTTTGGTAACAGAACTTGATGAAGTCAGACTCAAACTCAATAATAAGAAAAACAAGAGAAAAGGTGCAATTGATTTTGACTTTGCTGGGTCATTTCAAGGTAAGAAAATGTGTTTAGTCTCTTTTAAACCTAAGCACTGAATGTGAAAACTAGCATTCATTATCATTTTTGGGAAATTAACTTTTCTATTGGGTAATAAGTCTTATGAATTTTTAATATATATTGTTGTTTTTCACATTCTCCAATTATTTTCTTTCCTGAATTCACTCCTCTCATTTAAACACCCCTGGATCATCTTTTCATGAATGTTTAAACCTTTAATAACATAAGCCTGGAATTTTCATAGACACCTGTTGCATTTTTCCTTTTATCAACTCTTACCTTCCCATCTGATCCATCTATTTAAAAACCCATGCTCTTTATTAACGCCATTTTCTTTTTTTAATGAGAGCTGCCATGACAAAATGATTCTGATCTCAAAAGTATGTAAAATGAGAGTTTTTCTTTCTGCTAATTTGTTCTCTTAATATTTTTTAAAGTATATCCTAACAGATTATGCCTTTTAGTGTAATACTTCTACGGTACTAATAAAAGGAAAAAAGCACTATATATGTATAATCAGGTGATAATATTTTTTTATAAAATTGTAGAAAGCACTATAATAAATATTTTATTCCTTAATTTGTGGATGAATTCACACACACCTACCTTTAAAAAAACAAAACAAAAACTTTGATTATAATGCCTCTTTATTTCTGCTTACTAGTACATGGTACATTTGACCCTTAAGTAACATGGGTTTAAACTGAATGGGTCTGCTGGTACAGGGATTCCCCCCCCCCGCCAATAAACACATACCGCAGTACTACATGGTCCTCAGTTGGTTGAATCTGAGGATGCAGAAGGCTGACTGTAAAGTTCTATTCCTGTTTTTGGCTGCACAGAGGTTGGTGCCCCTAACCTACACCTTTTTCAAGGGTCAGCTATAAATGCTAACGAATAAAAATAGACCTGCAAAGTTTAAAACACTTGACAATATTTTGTTAAAACTAAATAATAGAAAACTTTTGACAGTAAATATCAGCAATCCCTCTGGGTGGGTAGTAGTCCCTCCGAGACATTGATGCCTACAAAGTTTAAATACTGCTAACATCACAGTTCTCTTAGATTTACCTGATGCATATGTACATCGTAACATGTTACCATTCAAATTTTGTCTTTCATTGACTGATAGAAGGTCACACTTTTAATAGTAGCATATGCCCATAAGGCAGTTTTCCTCAGAATCTCTCAGAAAAGATGTTGCTTTAAATCCTACTGAGCCTGTTGTATTAAAAGATGTTCTTTCATTGACCTTATTTTTAATAAAGCGCCATTTCAGAAGATATTAGCCTGAAAAGACATCAAATCTCCGTGGGTAATAGTTTTGGATACAGATTAAAGGATATGTGACAGAATTGATTTTTTTTAAAAGAAAGGGATTTAAAAAGGAAAGCAGCAGCAAACCAGATGAATTGATGAGTGTGGGGGAACTCACCCTACTCACCCTAATGTTGGCTATTCTTAAGAATAAACAAATCTTTAGAAAAAAAGAATAAACCTGAAGGAAGCAGTTCAGCAGAAGTACTTGCTAATTAAAGTTTTAGATATATGCCTGTAGGATGAATGAAAACCAAGACCTTTCCTAATAGTATACAAGTGGAAATTTTAGCTTAGGAGAAAAATAGCATTATGCACAATTCTGAAATAATACATATTTCACCTTGGAAGATGAAATGCTCTAGAAACTTATGAAAAATGGCTCTGGTATATCCATGCAAAGACATGTACGTGACTGTTTATAGCAGCAATATTCATAATAGCCAAAAAGTAGGAACAACCAAATGTCTGTTGAATGTACAAGCAAAAAATAGAAGAAGCCCATATAATAATGTTCAGCGATAAAATGGAATGAAATATTGATATATGCTATAAGGTGAATGAGCCTCAAAAATGTTTTGCTGGGAATTCCCTGGCGGTCCAGTAGTTAGGACTCAGGCTTTCACTACTAGGGGCCTGGGTTCAGTCCCTGCTCGGGAAACTACCGCAAGCCACGCAGCACAGCCAGGAAAAAAAGTTACACTCAGTAATAAGAGGCTGAAAACCACATCCCACATGATCCCATTTATATGAAAGAGCCAGAAAAAGCAGAGCCTTCCATGGAAGGGAGCATATGACTGCAAATGGGCACCAGGCATTTTTAAGCGGCTCTTTTGGTACCAGAAAATAGAGTCTGAATACTGTTTCAGGTAAAGTGAAAATGGGTAAAAGCAATACTTTTAGTTAATATAGTTTTAGATAATTATTTTAAATGTGAGTTAAAATGTAATAAACATTAATGAACTTATTTAAAAAACAGACTCACAGACATAGAAAACAAACTTGTGGCTACCAAAGAGGGAAGCAGTTGGGGGTAAATAAGGAGAAACAAGGTCCTACTGTACAGCGGAGTACCATATATTCCATAGATTGTAATAAACTGTAATGGAAATGAAAAAATGTAACAAATATTAAAAATGGTTTATTTCTTCTGTTTTGAAAGGTTTATATATTTAGAATTATAGGGGAGGTTTTTTTAAAGAACCGCTTTATTTCAAGTAGTAAACAAAACTCTAGTTATAACACAATAAACAAACCCTCCGTCACTTCTTCACAGTTACTCCAAGGAACAAAACCTCTGACTTAATTAGAATTTACAGTTAACCTTAAATATTTAAAATACATCTCGTGTCAATTTCAGAATTTTAATCTTGCCGGATACTTTGAAATAGGGCAAACTTTGATTGATGGTCAAATCTGAAAGACAAGAAGACACTATTGTCACCTGAACAGTTCTATTGGGATATTAACTTAAAAAAAAAAATACTGCATACTAACTCAAGTTATTTTTCTGTCTTTAAATGCCAGCTGCCGGGAATTCCCTGGTGGTCCAGTGGCTAAGACTCTGCGCTCCTGATACAGGGGGGCTGGGTTCGATCCCTGGTTAGGGAACTAGATCCCACATGCCACAACTAAGACTCTATGTAGCCAAATAAATAAAAATAAATGTTTTTTAAAATAAATAAATAAATAAATGCCAGCTGCCTAGTGATGCTTATAGAAGATAATTACAACTGTGTTTTAAGCCAAATAAATATATATTAACAAAACTATGTTGAAGATCTTATTTCTACAAAATTATTGGATCTACAATTTAATAATGTAGGTTTTATACTTTTTTTTAGGACCGAGAAAAAAAAAGAAAAGAGATTTTGATGACTCCAATGTATTTGTATCTGCTGAAGAGGTAAGACTAATGTATTGTTTTAAGCACTTAGCTGTTCTATGTTGTTTTTTAAGTTCTCTAATAAATTTACTCCCCACCCTCCCACTCTTCTTTTTAAGTTTGGCCACCTGTTGGATGAAAATATGGGATCCAAGTTTGATAACATTGGCATGAATGCCATGGCTAACAAAGATAATGCAAGTAAGTAACTTGAATTTTTATTGAGGTTTTAAAATAGTCTTAGGTTATAATTTCTGAAGATCTAAATATTTTTGGAGGACCTTTTGATAGTAAGAAGGGAAAAATGATTCCTTACAAACTGGAAGGAATGACTTTTTCACCTCTGTCTGCAGAGCCTATGGGATTAAAAAGTACACTACAGCAAAAAAGACTATAACCTACAAAAATTACTTTTTTTTTAATGGAGGCAGGCTATTTTTATATAGTATAAATTTGCTAAGTAACTTTATAAATATTTTATACACCTTTTAATTATTTCTGATATTGATAGTTAACTGGCTGCTCTTCTTTCACCAGTAAGTGCTCGGGGAAAAGAAAATCTTTAGAGCATTTGTTCCTTTCCTGTCCTAGTTTATTTGTAAGTAAATCTTTGATGATAAATACAGAAGGAAAGCAACGAACAGCAGGGGTTTGTGGAACAGATGGGAAGTGACCGTAGGCCATGGCAGACTGGAAGCTGCTGTCCCTCAGGATGTTCTCTGGAGGCCCTAAGAATCTACAGCGTGCTCATCTCTCTTCTCCCCCCTCAAAGGTCTCAAACAGCTTAGATGGGAGGCTGAACGTGATGACTGGTTACACAACAGAGATGTGAAAAGCATCATCAAGAGGAAGAAAAATTTCAGAAAGAGGCCAAAAACCACTCAAAAAACTAAAAGGCAAAGAAAATGAGTGTTTTCTAAATAAATTACAAAGTAAAATTCCACTTACTCCTAATTTTTACTGCTCAGCCATTTTTCTTGATCTTGCTCTCTGATTCCATACATTCCAGAGTGTTCAATGGATTTGTAATAAACTATAAATAAAATAGCTGTCATTTATAAAATCATGTAAAAGTATTAAAATTAAACTATACTGAGAAAAAAAATCAAGCTTTTCCCCCTTATTTCTGCACAATAAAGTGAAAAAGACAACAGGATACATATGTTGTATGCTGTGTGTAAGCTCTAGCATCTCTAATCTCTACTAATTCTTGTAATGAACACTATTAACTAAGCATTACTTTATACCAGATACTGTTCAAAGTAATTACATAACATTATCTTTTTTAATCCTTATAACAATTCATGAGATGGGCATTATTATCTCTACATGATGGAGAAAGAAAAAGGTCCAAGAAGGTAGCAAACCAGATGCGAGTTTTAAGCAGTGATTTGATTCCCATCACCCTCAGATCTAAGTCTCATTCCAAAGTCTACGTTCTTAATCCACTGGAAGAATTAAGAATCCAGCCCTTCACTGGGATTAACTCATTGGGTAACTGCAATGAGAATTTTCTCCACTGTGTTCTTCAAAAGTAGGGAAAATAGAGATGAACAGTATTTTTGGAAACTGACATTAAAAAAAAGTGATTTAACTCTTAATTGGTCATAAATAATTTATAAAGGTTACCTGAAGAACTTGCTTTGTACACACAAATTTTACTTAAGGAATAACATACCTTCTAAGATGAAGGGGAATTTTTTGCTCATTGTATGCCTGAAATCTAATGAAAAAAAAAAGTCAAAATTAGGCATGATTAGAAATTCACTGCATTAACACGTGGAGCCATAATTTAGTGCTAGCCTTATGGTCTGTAAGATAGGAATCCTATAAATTAGAGAAACTGTATCTTTTTAAAATAGGGTCAAAACCACTTTATAGGTAGTCTTCCATAGTTATTTTGGAGTTTTTAAGATTTGACCTATATATATGATGTAATTTATTTCAAAATGGTGTTTTAAAAGCAGATTTTCAGTGTTAATGTGAAATTCCCTTGTGTAATTTTATGAACTGTTTTATGGGTGCCATTTTACCTTGATAGAGAATTAGAAATAAGACTACTACACCGAATTTTTGAAGTTGACCTTAAACCTTAGTTTGCTTTTAAATACCATTTGTATGTTTTCTTTTATACCCTTACGTCCTTTAAGATAAATGACAGGTTTCAAAGATGGCCACCAGCCGGACTACTATTCCCTGCTTGAGAAAGGGAAGTAGCGCTTCCTGAGTTTAAAAGTCGAGGCTATAATATGGAATTTCCCCACAAAATGTCAGAGCACTTCCAGTGATGGCCAGTGGCATAAGAAAGGCTTTTAGTGCCTGATACTGAAGAAGAGGAAGAACTCTAACCTGCGCAACTGGTTACCTGACAATTCAGGTATACTACTTGTTTTCTCAGCTTGTCAGACAATGAGGTCTAATGGACGTCCTGGATTTTTTCCATCTATACTCCCAAACTAAGCCAGACCAAGGACACCTACTCCCATTAGGAAAATCCATGGAAGTATGAAACATCTTCCTTAGTCTACAGACATTTAACTTTTGACGGTGGGGGAGAAGTAAGTCATTTATTCTATAATACCAATAACACCTAACTTCCTCCCCTTGTGCCCATAAAATCCCTAATACATTGACTCTGAAGAAGCAGTTTCTCCAAAAAAGACATTTAACCTAAACTGTGTTAGTGAACTGTACACCCCCCTAAAGAACACTGTAATTTCTGAATTATGATTACCTTGGCTTGTGTTCATCTTATTAAACAAAAAATATGCTCCAAAAACGCCCATAAGTTCAGCTACTAATACTCCTTTAAAGATCTTCTTTGCCAGTGGATCCATAGAACGGGACATCCTAAGTTTAACAAATAAATGTAAACCTGAATAAACATATTCAAATTTAGTAACACTGAACTTCAGTACATTTCAATAGTTTGAATGAGTACATAGGAATAAAACCCCAAAGTTAGTGTATCCAAGTTGTATTAGACATGTCTCACTTTCCTAGTTTTCAATCTCCATGCCTAAGGTGCACAGTGAACCAGAGACATGATTAGAGAAAGCAGAGAGGAGAAAAAATTGAAGGCATTGTGAAAACTAAATTTATGGAACTAAGATTTTTAAACTGCCTAAGAATATAGAATGGTGGGAGATAAGAGTAAATCTAGAGTAAATCATTTTAGCTGAACTAGGAATTAAGTTCTAATAAGCATGATATGTGGAGTTCTTTATGAAGTAGCCTACAAAAGATTATTCTGTAAGTGGTTATATCAATACATGTTTTATAGCTGGAAGTTTTCATTTATGTAATATATTGAAGTATGTGCTATAGTTCTGGGCATTTTATATAAAGATGAGCAATAAACTGGTTCTTGCTCCTAAGGAGTTGCTATTCTAAGTTTTTTCAAACTAATCACATCACCCAAAAGGCTTGTTAAAAATGCACATTGTTGACTTCCCTGGCAGTCCAGTAGTAAAGACTCCATGCTTCCAGTGCAGGGGAAGCACGTTCAATAATTGGTTGGGAAACTTAAGATACCACGTGCCATGAGGCAAAGCAAAAAAAATAAAAAGCATATTCTTGGAACTCAACGGGCAATTCCCCAATCCCCATATCTGATTCAGCAAGTCTAGGGTTGGTGCCCCATGATCTGCCCTTTTACAGACAACTCAAAGTAACTTTTATACAAGAGGCTCCTGGACCACGTGAGGGGAAACTCTGACCACGATCACCCACTAAGTGGCAAGACTAGACTTCAACTCTTGATTCTCTCCCTGTATTATAAAATAAAAGCCCATCAGAAGAAAGTGCTTGAGCCTTTATTCTTTCACGAAGGTAAAAGCTAACAAGGAAAGATCTATATAACAAGAAATAGCATATATGACTCTCACTGAATAAATGAAATATAGACCAAAGTTTTTACTCTGCCTCAAAGTCAAGAAGGTCAGGAGAACCAGTGGTTTTTAAACTCAGGATTGCAGCATTGTCCTGTGTATGCTCTGTCACACTGTTCCATTCTCTGTGTGAAGTGGCACAACCTGTAATACTCCACAGCCCCAGCCCTCCTCTCATTCCACTCAATTCTGGCTTCTTTTCAACAGTCTGAGGCTGGGGGTAATTAAACACTGGACTTCAATAGGATTATCCTACTAATATCCTTACCAGGTGTACCTCCCACCCCACCCCCAAGATCCCATCTCTCATTTTGATAATGTGATCACCCTGAGGCCTAAAAGATTATAAAACTTTATTATTCATACCTAAGAGAAATGAAGCAAAAGTTAAAAACTTACACATAACTAAGAGGCAGTGAGGGAGTAGGAAGGAAGATTTGTTTTCCTTTGTCTATTGCTAGACATTACATTATGGGCTGTGCATTGCAGGCTTCCCTGGTAGCCCAGCTGGTGAAGAACCCACCTGCAATGTGGGAGACCCCAGTGTGATTCCTGGGTTGGGAAGATCCACTAGAGATGGGACAGGCTACCCACTCCAGTATTCTTGGGCTTCCCTGGTAGCCCAGCTGGTGAAGAACCCACCTGAGATGTGGGAAACCCCAGTGTGATTCCTGGGTTGGGAAGATCCCCTGGAGAAGGGATAGACTACCCACTCCAGTATTCTTGGGCTTCCCTGGTAGCCCTGGTGAAGAACCCACCTGCAATGTGGGAAACCCCAGTGTGATTCCTGGGTTGGGAAGATCCCCTCGAGAAGGGACAGGCTACCCACTCCAGTATTCTTGGGCTTCCCTGGTGGCTCAGCTGGTAAAGAATCTCCCTCAATGTGGGAGACCTGGGTTTGATCCCTGGGTGGGAAGATCCCCTGGAGGAGAGAGAGCATGGCAACCCACTCCAGTATTCTTGCCTGGAGAATCCCCATGGACAGGAGCCTGGAGGTACCCTGTAGTCCATGGGATCCAAAGAGTTAGACATGACTAGGCACAGGCTATACATTTACTGCCAGGAAATAAGCCATAACCAGCACAGGACCTACCTTGGGGTTATTTTTTAATGTTCAAGTGGTGGGAAAAAAACAAAACAAACCCACAAAGCCAGCCTTGCAGCCAGATCCAGAGAGTAAGGAATTCAAGTAGAATTCTGTTTTGTTAGGAAAGCAAGGATAAAGATTCAAAAAAGTAAAGTCCATAAATAAAACAAATATTTAAAAGACAAGGAAAAAAGTAAAGTTCAAATAACACTGTAAAGCATTTACCTTTCTTAAAAACAGACATATGTACATTTCATATTCCAAGTCCCTCAGCTTCAGAAAAGGTGTTTATAACTGATAAAACCAATTTAATGAACACCAAAGGCATACCATTCCACAACAGGTTACTAACTGGTGGAGATGGAATAAGATTAGACACATTTTTGGATAATGGTGGAACTCAAGTGACATTTAAAATAAACCAGTCCTGAGAGTTCCCTGGTGGCCTAGTGGTTAGGATTCCGAACTTTCACTGCTGTGGGAGGGGTTTAATCCCCGCAACTGAGATGTGGCAAGCAGGGCAAAGCCAAAAATAAATAAATAATAAAGCAATCATATGGTGGGCTGGGAAAAAAGCAGGGCTGTGAGTCATGAGGTTAACATTACGCAGGGCTGAGACGCTGACTCAGGATGCACAAGCTTAAGACAAATAAGCATGTTGCCTCCAAAAAACCCTCAGCTGTGCACCGTAGCCGGCAATGGACACCGCTCAGCGTCTCCAGGCAACATTTCAAACAGCAAGGTCTTTCCTTCCTTTCCAGACAACAAGGCTTCCCAGCTCCGACCCTGGGTTCAATGCACAAAAGCAGCTTTTCCAAGTTCCCAGTGTCAAGAGCCAAGCAACCAACAAGGCCCCCGCGCGTGGTCTCAGGCTGGCTACCAGGGATCCTCAGCCCCTCGCGGCCCCCGCATCCCTGGTGCCCGGGCTCCTGCCATCTCCCCAGCTCCCGGGTTCTTCCCGACCCGCCGGGACTCCCAGCACACTCCGGCCCGGCCCGGTGCCCACACGCACGCTCAGCACAAGGAGCACTGCCCGGTCGCCGGGCCAAGGTTCCCGAGCGACCCGGAAATACTCGGGTCCGCCCCTCGGGCACACGGACACAGTCACCGAATGTCCTCTTTATGATACCAGAACTCGGCCGTGGTCCCTACAAACCTCAGCCCTCCTCCTCGCTCTGGGGAGACCCTATTGGGTGCGGAGAGATACAGCGAAAGGTCTAGCCAGAGGCCTGCACAAGTACCTTACCTGAGGCGCGGACCCGCGGGGCTGCGCACGCGCAATGTCTGGCAGAGCCCGCCCCTCCCTGGCGTTGGCCCCGCCCCCAGACCGTAATTACCGCTTTCTGTGCTCTCACTACCCTGGTGTCTCAGCCTCAAAGAATCTGCCTGCAATGCAGGAGCTACAGGAGACACAGGTTCGATCCCTGGGTCAGCAAGCTCCCCTGGAGAAGGGCATGGCAATCCATTCCATTATAGTATTCTTGACTGGAGAATCCCATGGATAGAGGAACCTGGTGGGCTACAGTCCATAGGGTCGCAAAGAGTCGGACACGACTGAAGCGAATTAGCAGGCACTTAGCAGGCACGCACGTGCTCTTACTAAAAGTCGGTCCTGACTGGAGGCTACTTACATTATTTTACTTAATCCTCAACAATTCTGTGTCATAAAAGGTACTATAAGTATCTCTTTTTACAACGGAGGTGAGAGTTTTACCTTGCCCTTAATTACACAGCTAGGAAGAGCTTGAAAAGACATATGTTAAGGCTGTATGCATATTGTCACCCTGCTTATTTAACTTCTATGCAGAGTACATCATGTGAAATGCCGTGCTGGATGAAGCACAAGATTGCCAAGTGAAATATCAATAGCCTCAGGTATGCAGATGACACCACCTTTACGGCAGAAAGCAAAGAGGAATTAAAGAGCCTCTTGATGAAGGTGAAAGAAAGAGAGTGAAAAGTTGGCCTAAAACTCAGCATTCAAAAAATCAACATCATGGCATCCGGTTCCATCACTTAATGGCAAATAGAAAAAAAAAGACAAATAGATGGGGAAATAATGGAAACAATGACAGACTTTATTTTCTTAGGCTCCAAAATCACTGTGGACAGTGACTGCAGCCAAGAAATTAAAAGACGCTTGCTCCTTGAAAGAAAATCTATGACAAACCTAGAGAGCATATTAAAAAGCAGAGACATTACTTTGCTGACAAAGGTCCATATAGTCAAAGCTATGGTTTTTCCAGTAGTCATGTATGGATGTGAGAGCTGGACAGTAAAAAAAAGCAGAGCGCTGAAGAACTGATGCCTTCGAACTGGGATGCTGGAGAAGACTCATGAGGGTGTGGGAAAGATTGAAGGCAGGAGGAGAAGGGAAGACAGAGAATGAGATGGTTGGATGGCATCACCGACTCAATGGACATGAGTTTGAGAGAGCCCTGGGAGATGGTGAAGGACAGGGAAGCCTGGCGTGCTGCAGTTCATGAGGTCGCAAAGAGTTGCACACGATTGTGCAACTGAACAACAAGAGCTAGAACTTGGATTTGAATCCAGGGCAGTAACTGGAAAGTCTGTGCTCAGTTCTTTTCTACATCCTGCAACCCAAAGTGTGAACCAGCAACACTGGCATCACCTGGGAGCTTGTTAGAACTGCAGACCTATTGAATCAGAATCTGCATCTTAGCCAGATCCCTAAGTAATTCATTTCTAATTCAAAATTTGAGAGTCACTGACTGTACTGCCCGGTAGATCAGAGAAGGAAGATGGGACAATGAAAGCTTGGAAGGGAGAGTAGGAGGAGAAAATGAATTTAAAGATCTGTGAAGGTTCCATGTTGTTGAACAGCATCCAGCAGGCCTACGACTTGTAGTTG